GAAGTGTTCAGGAAGGTGCAGGGAAGAGGACTATGCAGAAAGGCAGGGATCCCTACCACAGCACTGTGCCCTGGTATTCATCCGCACACAGTAAAGTGTTTCTGCTCTCCACTTGCGGCTTTGAGCAGGTCAACAGAACTCTCTGCAGTTCTGTGCGCACACATTTACCTCAGTTTTAAGCAGAGAGAGACACACAAAAATCTTCTCTAACAGTTTAAGGAGAAACATCCTTAACCTAAATGCCTTCACAGAGATGTTACAGTTCTCTGACGTGCCTAGTAAATGCTCAGTCAAAATTGCCTGTTTTCCACTGTGACCCGTCTCTTGATCCGCTTCCTGACTTTCTCTGTTTCTGCCATTCCTATGTTTGGCTCAGACTCAAGCAAAACATAAATAAATTGTGTCCCAAAACACATCACTCCAAGCATTGTATCTTCAAAGCATCATTACTTCAAAGCTCCTCTGAACAAACCCTTTATTTAGTCCTCCTTGAAGCACTTGCCTTTGAACCTGCCCTATCCTCCAAGATCCTGTGTGCAGACAATATATATCCATTCAATTAATCTCAGCGCATCACTTCTCCTACTAGTAACCCCACAGCCTATCATTTGTTCTCTGGGAAAGAACAACTAAGCTGACAAACAGTGGCATCAAAATTGGCACATTCCCCAAAAGAAACATCTTTAAACAACTTTCTTTTGGAGAGGAGACCAATAAGGTTTTTATGCTAAAGTAAAGGATAAAGAGATATCTTTCTGCTGAAGCTTCCCAAATAAGTAGATGAAATACAGCTACAGTAATACTGAAAACCAAGGCAGGGGGAAATCTTCCTATAGCTCTAACTCCAAGTCTTACCGGCAGTGTCACCAAAACAAGCCAAAAATACAACCTCTGGTCTTGGAACAACAACCCAAAGTAACCCCCTACATATGTATCAATACACCCTCCTGAAATGCGTATAACGGAGACCAGAGGAGCCTCAGCACCCACCCCTTTGATCTGCTGCTCCACTCTCATTGCACCACATTGACTGCTAAAATAGATTTAACCTTAAAAATTTATATATCTTTTATTTGCCTTCCCCAGGAGAAACTTGCTGCAACACAGAAATGGAAGTAAAATAGGATAAAGCTCCAAAGTATTCACTGCATCTTCCATCCTCCTGTAGAATGCATGAGACAAAAAATAAATCTTACTAGCTATGAGGTTAGTCACATCACTGACTGTATTAAGGAATGGTGCTTTGAATGGAACAGGGATGAGAACATGCTATGAGACAGAAAGAGAAGGAATCGAATGGCTTATAGGCAATTAAGACCTCTCCAATATCTGAAAGTGAACATTCCTACTTCAGGTTGAGACTTAACAGGACAATCTGCAATTTTATTACCATGTTGTACCGATGGGAACCATTAACTGACTTTAGATTCTGGCACTTATGGCCACCATTAAAACTCATTTGACTTAATTTATTCCTGCATAATTATGGTACCATTTGATTATCTATAGGTGGTTCATTAAAGCAGGAAACAATTCAAACCCTAGACACAAAGCCAGTTTGGATCCTGTACAGTTAACACTTTGGTTCCGACAATGGCACAGTCGTATACAGCTAGAGGTAATAAGCCCACCTGGATCTAAGCCAAGCCCTCAAAAAGCCAACATGGATATTACTGCTCTGCTTCCCTGAATCCAGGAGTGCCATGCAGATACATCCCTCAGGTTCATGAAAGCTGGCTCCAGTCCAGCTGGGTGTATTAGCTTTAGTCATGCTGCATGAAAGCTGACAGTGCTGAGCCCCAGTCTTTGTGCCCCCTTTCTGCATTTCTTCAGGCTCTGTGGACACAGCAGAGGAGAGGTACAGAACAAAAAAGGACCCACCTGGTGCTGCACCCAGCCTCATAAGCCCTCTCCCCACACTGCTCAGCACGCTGGTAGCTAAGTAGCAATCAACGCACTGACTAGGCTGCTGAGCAAGACCTGCTACGGGGCCTGGACACTCTCCTCAGGCTGCCTCATTCTACTCATGCCGCCCATGTTTTTCCACTTCCATAACAAGCAATACATATGCTTTGTGTCCACACAGCACAATTAATTTCAGAAGAGTAACATCATCATAACTGAGAGAACAAGGCACAAACAGAGCCAATATAGTATCTAGTGTCATATTAAAAAGCATGTACAGTCAGAATCCCTACAGTATGTTCAGATTACTGTATTTCTTTTATGGTGACTGTTGCTGGAACAATTTGCAAACAAGGAAACATATGAGTTCCGTGCTGCACCTAGCTGGTGATAAAAAAGATTACTATTTTTGGAATTACTAAAATACAGTTTAGTATATCCTATTGTGGAAAAGGAGAGAGAGAAAAAAGAGGGTCATTTATTTTGCCAAAATACACATCTGGCTTTGATCCATAACATTCCAGAACAAATGCTTCCAACTGTCATTTTCTTACCAAAGTGTTACAGCATCTTACATGAGTCAGTAAACTTATTACAATTTTAGCAGAAGCTGCCAAACTCTTACAAATTCAGAGCATGTGCTCAGATACAAATTATTTAATATTTGCCAACATCACCCAGTTTGAAAAGTGAATTCACAGTATGTATTCTGGGAAACAGATTTGAGATATTTTGTAAATAAGCAGGTGACATTTCATGTGCTGCATTTTTAAGAGTACAGATGCTGGGAGGTTGAATTACAAAATTACAAACTTTTATATCTTTTCTAAGATATCTGCCAGATATTCAGAATTTTCTGTCAAAATCTATTATCTTCAAACAGAAACTAGTCAGGTTTTAGTTTTAAATTGAATGGTTCAGGTTTGTCAATTTTTCTTTAATCTTATAACGCAATCAGATTTATTATTAATACTAAAACATGTTTACATAGCACCTTTCATCCTGACAGATCACCAAAAGCCTTGCAAAACCTCTCTGGTTCTGTGCAATTCCGTCCCCACTCATAATGTTGCCACTTTCAGGACAAAGAAGAACCTGTTTAAGTAATGACAGCACATGACCACAACAGTTCTTCAGAGAGGATGTAACTCCCAACACAATGTCAGGGTAGAGATGAAAAAGGAACATGAGGAACATAGTAGAGTCATGAGGGAATAACTACAATCATCAAAACACCTTTTAATTTACTCATTGCTGAGTGGATCTATGGCAACACAATATTCATCAGTCCCATTTTTTCCTCTAATACTATCCACATCTCTTCACTTCCAGCAGCTCCATTTCTTTTCTAAATAACCAAATTCTTTCTAGGTTCACTCTATCATTTACTGACATTAACTGTAGGAAAATGTCCCAGGTGATCATGGAGAAGACCAGTAATGTTTAACTGTCTAGAGGCAGGTCAAACACAGAAACAAAATTGTCCTAGGAACCCTGCAGAAGTTTTGAAGGGAAGCTGATACAGACTATGACCTCCTCACTGAGTTTCATTGCAGGCTGAAAACTCATTTACACAGAATACACTGTTACAACCTGGATCGTCCAGAACAATTTTATTTCTTTTATCCAATTCAACATCCTACCTGAGGTCCATATGCCTCGTAATTGAAGCAACAGCTAGTCATGCAGAACTTTACCCCCCGAGGGTTTATGAAACTCCAAATCTATTTAGACTCAAGCTGCAATTCAACTTTCCTTTTTACTGCAGAAAACCAACAAGATTAAACTGCATCTTTCATTTCCCTCTAGGAAGCATTCTGAACAGGAATCTTTCAGCAAAGATAACGAAGCTCAGCAGAAGATGTGGCCCTCTCCCTCCACTTGATTCCTACTATGGATGGAGAAACAGTAAGCTTATCCTCTGCCAGCAAAGCAGTACTGCTTTGCTAATGTGAATGCTGTCATCTTCCAGATCTCAAGCTCTGTATCTGTGATTCTGCATGCTAAATGGACTTACTTTAATCAATGGCATGAATGTGTGAGTACCAAAGACAATTAATTTCTCTTGCACATTTGGACATACATAGAATACCACTATATTAGCTATGAAAGCAAATGTGGGCATTCAGGTCTATCAAAAAGGGGATTAGAGAACTTTATATAAGACTGCAATATGAATCTCCTTGATGGAAACTTGGCATATGTTAGCTACCCTAGCAGAGAAAAGAAAATAAATACTAAAGCCCTACAGATAGCTATAACTATTTTTATGGCATACACTGATGTTCGGTTCTTCTGTAAATTTTTGAGCAAAAAAATTTACATTTGGCATTTACCACCCTGATGAAAGTTATTGTCCGGTCTTACAGAAAATGAGGCACAAGAAGTGAAATGGATTACTCAAAACAAAGCAGAGCAAGCAAGCTCATGCAGTGCAGGTCCATGCTCACACTGCCAAGCCATTCTGTGCCACACGCTCTTGTTCCAAATCAAAATTCAGGGGAACTTTGGTTCCCCTTTTTGTGTCTAGATCCTACAGCCCCCTTGTACAACAGGCAGCAGCAAGACCTCTTCTCTTAGCAGTGTGTGTTCCTACACACACAGAAGCCTTAGAGATGTCAAATCCAAGCACAGATGAGTTGCCCATACGTTAAGAGCAAGGCAGACACCTGCCATCATGGCTGCAAATGCTGGCTTCCTGCAAAGCCAAGATCTTGCAGTGGCTGAACTCCGTGACTCTGCTGAAACCACCGCTGAGCAGTTGGCAGAGATAAGAAAAGTTAATGTATTTTCAAGATACGCCAAGGGCCACATCCATTTCCTGAACTAGAAGAAGGTAGAATACAGAAATGTACTAAAAGTCTTCATTTTTTACTTATCTGGAGGTATAAAATCCAAAAGCCCAATCAACAGAGATCATACTTTGTTAAACAGTCACTAAAGGAAACTAGAAACTGATTTTTTTTTTTTTTTGAGGGGGGGGGCAGTTAATCAATTAGCCCAAACCTGCAGCTGCTTAAAGGCCCCATACTCTGCACATTCAAGTGGGGGGCAAGTTCTTATTAGAAAAAGCTCCTTTCCCCAACTACAGCCATTTTTTTTTGTTAGTTTTTTACTTCTGGTGGATTTCAGGGCAGATTTTGACAAGCAGCAGTACTGCCTCCTTGTCTATACTGGGTCTGGCTGAGATAGTCTCAGGCCTATCGCTGCAGCACCTAGAGCTTCTCAGGTTAAGAGCTTTTGAAATGTTACTCTGGAATGAGACTTCCTCAAAAAAGATGTAACGTCAGACAGAAAGAAGAAAAAGCCTCCTCATTTTGAAAAAAAATTTTTAAAAATGCTATTTACAGAGTCCCAGACTGACATTCCCTCACTGAAGTACCTTCCTGGCATCACAGTAGCGGAGCCCAAAGGAGTGGAACTGCGGGAAGAAGGCTGGCTGGACAGCCGCAATCTGTGTGTAGAGCTCCGCAGGCCGTGACATGGCAGGGGTTCCCGAAAGCAAGATCACTCTCCTGGCAGCCTAGGAAAGCAAAGTAGACATTGTTATCATCCATCTTACAATATAAGCAGAACCTGCCAAGAAGTCATCCAGAATCCCAAGTAAAATCCCAGAGCCATTGTCCAAGCACCCTAAATGGCAGAATACTTCACCTTCCACAGATACTTTCAGCCTTCACTGCCTGAAGACACTCAAGGACAGTGCTTAAAACTTCTAGACAGCAGGAAAAACCATACTGTTTCTTATTCATCATCCACATGCTGTAAGGGAAGGGGACATAATTTTTTATGCAAGTTCTTTCTGAATTGGCATTTACCCACTAGACATGTTAATACCTTATGCCTGGCTCAACAATTAATTTGGCAACAGATGTCACAGGAAAATGACACACCCTCTCAGGTACATCCTCACCTCAAAAATAAATCCTCTAGTAATAAACCTGCCACAGCTAGCCATAAATACAGTCTTCCTCACAAAAGCAGAAGAGATCCAGATAAGTAGGATTTTTTTATTTTTGTTGATTTTTTTTCTTTTTAAATTCTACTAGCAAAGAGAGAAAGATGAAGCTGCCTGAAGCAGGACAAGAAGATGCCCATCTGACAGTCACAGTGAGTCTAAACAGCTGGCTGGATACTGGAACATGAGTTATTAAATACAAATCATGTAAGAAGATTGTAAAACATATGTTGTAGGGGAGACAGAAAGGGGGTGGGAAACCTGCATCTAAAGTAGATGCTCCCAAAAAGTAGGGGAAAAAAATTACACTATAGACAAAAGCCTCCATGATGCCTTTCTACCTTCATAACTCCATTATTCTAATTCTATTATTAGATGAGAGCTACGAATTTCTACCACTGTAAATTCACATACAGTAGTTAAATTACAAATACCTTGTAATTTCCTGCATGGTTTAATGTGGGTTCATTAAAATAACAAAGAGATTCTTGAGTGACACCTGTACCAACAGCTCATTCACATTTAAATGAAAAAGAAAATGAAATTCTTTTATCGTTTCACTGAGATCTACCAGTCACCCAAATCTATTCAGCTGATTCATCCACTCGCCAACCAAATCTGGTGGAAAAAGAGTTCACAGATCAGCTACCGGAAATTAATTTCAGAACTCTCTATCAGATATTTATATATAGGTTGCAATCCAAGTGGGACTTGCCTTCTTCCTCCATCTCTGTTAAACATAAGAAGGAAATGTGACCACCACCAGCATCAGACAATTCCCATAAACTCGTAAAAAAAGCAGGATATTTATTGAACTAAATAAGAGCAGAGGTCAAACCTTTAGACATGTTGGAAGGTGAGAGTTAGTTCACACAAGACAGAGGTGCCTATGCTACTCAAAAGAGGGAGGAGTCACAGAGACCAAAGATATCAGATCCTATGAGGAAACAAAGTGATAAAGCAGAAATTAGGTCAGTTTTCAAAATTAAGGCAACAGTGGAAGACAACTAAGCAGAATCTGGACAATATCTGATGCCCTGAAGAAGCCTTTGAGAAGTAAACTGACACCAGCTTGAGAACTCTGCTGAAATGCCAGATAAGCTAGTCCCAGATCGGCAAGAAACCTCCAAATTAAATTTTTCCTCCTGGACTCACAGAAGGCCACTGCTAGAAAAAGACAACATGGAGGTCATAGAATTGCAGACAGCTCATTTCAAACAACTCTGTATCAAGCTAAAGCAATAAAAGTTCATTCAAAACAGACCAGGGACATATTAAAAGCAACATAAACCCAACTGTGTTGAAAGGCTTTATGTCATTCTCAAGGCTCCTCCTCTTTGGAGGGTGTTCCCCAGGAGCAACATGAGATGAGGTTGGAATACTAGCTCACCAGTAGTCAAAACAATGAGGCTCCTTCCTCAATCCCTAAACAGGTATCAAAAGAGAGAATTCAGGTTATTTGAATTCTAAACTCATCCAGCTGCTGCCTTGCTGTGAGCAACTTCTTTCTGAACACATAGGTTACCTAACTACCACAAGCACCTACCAAGGGCTGCAATATGTCTTCTATAATTAACCTTTTTAAGCAAATTGAGACATAAAAAAAAATGAATGTCATGGGTTAAAGTTAACTTAAAGTTAACTCTGTTAATTTTTTTTTAATTTTCTCTTCTTCGTCTTCATAAATAGCTAGCAAGAGGCT